TTAAATTCATTATAAGAAATATTTTCGTAATACATAATTCACATGTTGTGAAATTACATAGATATTTTGAAATTGATGGTCAAACATAAAAATATTTGACTTGGGACAAACCAAATACGTACTATATAAAAAAGTTGGAGGAAATATTCCAGTGTGCTTTAGTGTTGATCTTTATGCCAGCGACCAAAATCGAATGCCTAAAAACACTTAGAGCAACTCTAACAGAACCCTCGAACAAATCCCTAAACTAAAACTTGAGAGCTCAACAAAAAAAAATATAGGTCTATCAGAGCCTCTGTTCAATTCTCAAATTTGGGAGGCCCTTAAATTTATCTTTCGGACCTCGTTCCTGCATGCGTTGACCATGGCTCCCTATAAGTTGGTTCGTTGTTTTTCTTGCTCCTGCACGTGCCTTCTCTTCTCCCCTCTCCGTCACGGTGCCCCTAGCCCTCCCCGCCACGCCCTTGAGCTCCGGGCGCTCCTGCGTGCCAGTGCCACAAACTTAGCGACAATGCTTGGCGCCCTGCCTCCTCCTGACGCGTGACCCGCTCCAACGTGAACTAGTTTTACTCACATGAAATTTTGATCCTCTCTTCATCGATACTCCTTCTATTCTAAAAACTTTTATTCTGTATTTAGACATAATAATAGATATATAGGTGCATGATAAAAACTATGTATCTAGAAAATCTAAAATAACTTACCATTCAGAAAAAAAGAGAGTATTATACAATGTCAGCATATTTGTTCAGAATAACTTACCATTCGGAACAAAAGGGAGTATTATACAATGTCAGCATACTCCCTCCGTCCCTAAATGCTTATTGTTTTCCCTTCATGAGAAATAACTTCACTAAATATATATTAAAATATTAATATTTATGATACATAATTAGTATCATTGGATAGATATTTGAATTTAGTTTTTTAATAAATTTATTTAGAGATAGATATGTTGCACATATTTTCTATAAATCGAGTCAAAGTTATCAGCACGTAAATCATGGCGACTAACATTTATGGACGGAGAGAGTATTTGTTAAGGTGATAGCTTATTTAATGATTATGAAACTTTGTAACTTATTTGATGCTAATGAAACTCTGACACCCCACTGGAACTGACTTAAGGGAACCGACAAAGGCTCCATGGTAAATACTTTTCATCACTACGCCAGTCACCATTTGTAGGCGCACTGATTTGTAGGGACGGCTAGCCAACCGATCCTATAAAATCGTTTTTTAGGGCGGCCGATAATCAATTTTCAAAAAATCATGAAATCCGGTAAAAAAATTAGCAAAATAAAAAAATTTAACCGGAAGGCCCCCATCGGTCAACCACCCCCCGCTCGTCGCAATCGCAAGTCGCGGCATTTTTTATTCGAACCGCGACCTCCCCTCGCACGTACCCTCCTCTACCGTTGCACATCACACTCACTTGTATCCATAGTGTATTTTGATTTCCCACATATTATACTAAACCGATTATAAATTGATTGTTTGAGGTTCTAAACGAATTTAAATGAAAAAGTTATCAACTACAAAGTTTTATAACTTTTCGAGATCAACAACTTTTATTTTGGTAGTTTCTCCATCCGAGGTTGTTTACAAAATTTGAATTTTAAATTTGAGAAAATCAAATGTAGTTTTCCATGACAAGATGAATTTAAATAAAAAAGTTGTCAACTACAAAGTTTCATAATTTTTTGAGATCTATAACTTTTATTTTTGTTGTTTGTCCATTCGACGTCGCTTAAAAAATTCAAATTTCAAATTTTTGAAATTTCAAACATAGTTTTCATTGATAAGATGATTTCAAATAAAAAAGTTATCAACTACAAAGTTTTAAAACTTTTTGATATCTACAAGTTTTATTTTGGTTGTTTCTCCATCCGAGGTCGTTTGAAAAAATCCAAATTTCAAATTTGAGAAATTCAAACGTAGTTAACATTGACAAAATTAATTCAAATCAAAAAGTTATCAACTACAAAGTTCTATAACTTTCCAAGATCTACACCTTTTATTTTGGTCATTTGTTCATCCAACATAGTGATAGTAACATTGTTCACAAATTTTACATATCTCTCTTATAGTTTATGAAACTATGTAAATTTTGTGAACAACGTTAGTATCACTTTATCATATGAAGAAATGATCAAAATAAAAATTGTAGATCTTGATGAGTTCTACAACTTTTATGTTCATGATTTTTTCAGCTGTAATCATTTAATATTTTAAAATAACGTTTGAAGTTTCTAATTTTTTTAAATTCAAAATTCAAACAGATAAAACACAGTCACATAAAAAGATGGATAAAATAATAGATGTAAGAACACAATAATTTCATAGAGCATGATTTTAGAAATTTTAGAAAAAAATCATTAAATTTAAAGTTAGTATGAGGAAGAAAAACTAGTTACAAGTTTTAGCCAGAGATTAAAAAGAGAAATCAGAGTTCTTCAACAATTTTAAAATTGAATTTCAAACAACATTTTAAAGCAGTAAATGATTTCAAATAAAAAAGTTATAAACAACAAAGTTTCATAACTTTTTGAGTCTACAACTTTTATTTTGATCATTTCTCTATCCGAGATCGTTTGAAAAAAATCAAATTTCAATGCTTAATTTTTAATATTCAACGTCTATTTGTAGGGGCGACTAAATATTGAGCCGTCTCTAAATCCGATTTATAGAGACGGCTGGATATAGAGCCGTCCCTATGAATCGGACTATTTGTAGGGACGACTAATAACACCAGCATTAGGGACGGCTTATTTGGGAGGTATTTGTAGGGCCGCCCCTAAAAAAGAGGACGTTGCTATAAATCGTTTCTGTAGCAGTGGTCAAGATATCTAAAATCATTACAAAATAGACAAATGTGATTCGATTCCGAGGGAGGGAGTGCGTCGCGTGCCAGTTTTAGGTCTGTGGAACGGCGAATGGAATACTAAAATCATTACAAAATAGACGAATGTGATTCGATTCCGAGGGAGGGAGTGCGTCGCGTGCCAGTCCTGGCTAGGTCTGCGGAACCGCGGAAGGATGAGGCGAATGGAATACTAAAATCATTAAAAATAGACAAATGTGATTCGATTTCGAGAGAGGGAGTGCGTCGCGTGCTAGTCCTGGGTAGGTCTGCGGAACCGCGAAAGGACGAGGCGAATGGAATACCATCCGACCCCGCCGGCTGCTTTTCGTTAGGGCACGGACCACGGGTCCTTTCACCCCGTCTGTATGTTGGGGTTTTTTTTCACAGAGCCCCCTGCCAAAGCTTAGAAACAGCAGCCTCGTCGCTTCACGAAAGGACGATGCGAGCTCGTGCTCCAACGTTTACATACGACTTCGGCTCGCGTTGTACAAGAGCCGTCGACTCGGCAGGGAGCGCCTTCACCACCGATCTGCTGTGCGCGTGCATGGGAGTCCCATGCGCACCAGCGCGGGAAGGTGACGACGAGCGGCGCGGCGCTGCACTGCAGCCGGCCATAGCAGCTGCGGCCCCCCATAGCTGCCGCGGTGTGTTTGTGATATGTTGGCGCACGGGAAGGTGAGGAGCGGCGCTGCGCAGCGGCCGGCCATAGCAGCTGCGGCCCGCCATAGCTAGTGATTTGTTGGCACACGGGAAGGTGATCGGCGCGGCAACGGCGCTGCATCCGGCAGCCGTCTTCGTTCTGATTTATTTTAGCAAGGAGCTAATGACAAGAATATGAAGAAGTAAATGGTTCCAGGTGAAACAATGTAAGAGAAATAAACAGTAAAAGTTGATCTTATGATTTTACATAATGTTCAGGGCTCCCAACGTAAAATCGGCTTCTTCTTTTTTTCAAGAAAGAATGCGCAAATCGGCTGGAATTTATAAAGCCCACGTAAAATCGAAATCAAATCAGAAAATTATGATTGAAATTTTGTTAGGCTCCTTTCGACCAGAAATATAGCATAGAGGTGACCAAACACATGTTACACTTTGAATGTTCAATGTATATTTTATTTTGTGGAACCTCTAATGCATTTTTTTGTAGAAAATGGTTGTGCTCAATAAAATCCTACAAAACTTAGTGTAAGTTACGCATATTAGTGTGACACCACAATTAAAATTTCACCACCAGAAAAGCTTCCGTAGAGAAACAAAGGAAATTAGACAAAATGTGCTACAATTATATATAACATAATTATTATATTGATGGTTTCTAAAAAAATACTATAATCGTGTTGTTCTTATTTATCCTTAATATAGTTTCTATCAAATAGCCACACAATGGTATAAAAAATATATTAAATAGCTTAGAGACGGATCCTCATCTATATGATTGTATAACTTATCTTTATACCTATCTGTATGATAAGTTCAAGACACCTAGAGACAGACCCCGTCATCGGGTTGTACATGCCCTTAGACGGCTAGAGTCCTCTGGCTCTCTTTCCGCTAAGCCGGGCAAAATATTTGCAGTCCAACTGAAATTCACATTAACATCTGCCCGAGGCAGTGCTCAACTCATAGCGCCAAAGCCGGCAATCATCACAATCACATAAACTTTCTATACAGCCATATTTAAGGGCACAATGTACCTTCACATCAAACACTACAATTGTGAAACACTACAATGTACCAGATCTTTGGCAGCGAATGTTTGTACACTGTTATGCAAGTGAATCCATTGATCCATTTGAAGGAGAAAACAATACAAACTGAACGGGTGTATTGATCAACAAACAAGGAAAGCTACAGCCAAATATACAGGCAAAAGAATACTTCCTACTACAAACAGGGCATGGAGGGAAGAACAGAGATCCTCCAGACTACAATGGAAATAAGAAACACAAAGAAAATTGTCTGGTCTGCCCTGCCCCACCCTCTGTTGAAGTACAAAGTTTCTGATATTTGTGTCACAATATACGCGCTTTATGGTCATGCATGATGCCACAAAGAGTGATCTGTGGATAGCTGCTCAAAGGAGACCGACGAATATCGGTTGTCACTAATACCTTAATCTTGTATGAATTTGTTGCTAACACCTTATCTCATATGAACCAGCTCTCGTGATGTAGCGAACCCACTCAACAGTGTTGTAACCACTCTTCTCCCAGACCTGGAAAATGTATCACACATGAGATTTTCCATCTCAGACGCTACGAGGTTTCAAACCAACACTTGGTACACATACCTTAAGGAACCGAACACGTAAACCAGAAGCAGTGAACATTGGAACCTACAGGATCAAGAAACACATCACTACATCAGATAGAGCACGGAGGATAATGCTCAGAGAACAGTCAAACAAAGCATAACAGTATGAATTATGATCAACATATTCTATCACAATGACAAAGCATGAGCTATACTCCCTCCGTTCCAAATTATAAGTCGCTTTGACTTTTTTTTACATCCATTTTGCTATGCATCTAGATAAATAATATGTCTAGATATATAGCAAAATAGATAAACCCAAAAAGTCAAAGCGATTTACAATTTGGAACGGAGGGAGTAGTATACATGACAATAAAAGCCAATGCCTCGAAACAAAATTCTGATGCCAAAAACTACAAAACTCAATTTATTATAGGCCCAAGCACAGTTCATAAACAAAGAATGTATATTTAAGCTCTCTGCTACTATCCATATCCAGTTCCAAATTGCAATAGACAAAATGAAGCACAAAGAATGTGATTAATTTCAGGTACATGTGTCGTCAATCAAGGGTAGGGGTCCATATAAGAGAATTGGACCCCGGGTCCATGCAATTATAATTCCCCTTCAATTGGGGGTAAGAGTATTACCTGGAATTCCATCTGGATAGGTGGTCTGTTCCATGACTTCTTTTCACCCATGGTAGAGATCAACTCCACCTCTGCGCTCATAGTTGCCTCAGTCTGTCCAGGGAATTTCCTGATCCTGTAGTTTTAAAAGTGTGTATCAGTTAAAGTAGGTTTACTACTTGCAATGTGTGAGTGGAAAAAGTTCTTAAAAGGATAAAAGTAACTCCCAATGGTAACACATACTTCCACACCAGTGAATCAATCGAAGCATTGTATTTTGCTTTGCCTGACGTTGTTTGGAAACTAGTCTTAGCTGTCTGCTTTGGAACCGGGACTTTAACGACGACACCAAGTGCAAACATCTTAGCACCGAAAACACTCTTGACCTATGTCAAAAAAACAAGGTTCATGTTAGCAAATTCAATTATGACCCCATGTACCCACTCATGTACATATGCTTACTTTCACATTGATCTCCATGCGTGTTCGGCCCAATTCCTTGATTGTTGGTAGAACACGGAATGGGAGGTTTACACCCTCTGTGATTCGATACCTGCAACAAATTTATCTATCAAAACTGAAAAGCCAGCCAAAGTGCAATTAATAATGTAAGTCATTAGTGGGGACAAAATTACAAGCATAGAAGAGGAATCAAAAGATTTACTTCATCAATTCAAATTCACCATCTGGTGGCACAAAACTGACTGTCTTTTCTGAGTTAAATCTTGTCAAGTTGACACACTGGTGGAATGTGACATCATCAAGTTCTATGGTCTTCCCACTGTAGAGCAAGAGAAGACACACAATCAGTAACAAATTTAGCAAAAATGACAAAGACAAAGTGTCAAAATGTATTAATGAGCAAAACAACCATGATGCACACAGATTTTCTTTTGAGATTTTATATGGCAAATTTTGCCACAGGACATCAAACATAACGTCGTATTGGCCATTTCACACCCGCAAGCGCTGAAATATGGCAGGTACTATTATGGCATTATGAACATGTGTATCTTTGCTGCAGCACACTGCAATGATTATAATAATCATTTATGTCATTCTAGGAAAGAGGAGTGCAAATTGACTTTTTGCCCTTGCCTTCATCTTCCTCAGGTGGCGTGGACACATAACCCCCCCCCCACACACACACACACACTCTCTCTCTCTCTCTCTCTCTCGTCCACCCAAACTTCCACCTTCTTGCCGCCGAGTAAGAGCACAAGGAACGGGGTCAGCTCAATGCCATAGGTCAGGAGGTCGAGTGTGCCCAGTGCTGCCACGGGCTGTCAGGACAGTAGGTTGATACCACCTATGTAAATCACAGGGAACAGGATGAACGAGCCAGCAAGTGGCAGTCCACACTCACGACAACCTTGTGGTGCACGATGTTGACTCGCCCAGTGGTGAGGTTGTTCTAGTGGACGTAGAGGCCGGGCGGGTTGGAACACCAGAACTCATCATTTGAGTGCAGGGACACAAAGACTTCCAGGACTACCCGATAGGTCTTTGGCAGAATGCTCGCAAGCTTGGAGCCTTGGACCATGAATCCAACAAATTTCTGGATGCGGAACTAGAAAGCCGCTGCTGTTGCTCAAGCCCTCTGAGATTGTACCATGCCGGCAGTTTTGGTGTTGCCTGATCAGGGTCCACGGAGCCGGTAGTGGAAAAGGATCATGCACCGCCAAGGTAAGCAGGGAGCCATGGAACTCGAGGGACATGCTGACGTGGTGCATAGGTCATGGACGAGGTTCTTGAGCATGACAGAAAGCACGGCAGGGACCAAAGCAGCGCGGAATAGCATGTGACCCCCTTGCGGGCGGTCCAGCGCGGAATAGCACTGTTGAGCTCGAGCCAGACGACCGCGATTCAAAAGTACTGATCACGGTGATGGCAGTGAAGGAGAGCAAAATGAGGACAAGGGCACAGAGAACCTGGCGAGCGGCGCGTACACAGACTTGGCAGGGGGGTGCCATAGGTGTTGCTGAATGAGTGCGAGAGCAATGGCACAACATAGACAGGGTCTTGCGCTGCTGCAGCAAGGCAAGATGCGTCCGTGCTTCGGATAGACGAGAGGATTGAGAGAGGGATGTGTCCACAACTCCATGTCACTGGGAGGATGAAGATGAAGGCAAGGGCAAAAAAGTCATCACACCCCTTCTCTCTAATAAAATTGCATAAATGAATATTATAATAGTTGCCGTGTGCTGCAGCAAAGGTCCACAATTTCATAATGGTACCTAGCATATTTCAGAGCTTGCGCGTGAAATGGCCAATACCATGTATGTTTGATGTCATATGGCAAAATTTCCTTTTTTATAATAATCAGGAGAGGGTTTACCTCTTTGCTGGTCTGGACTTTAGTTGGGCCTCTTTTTCAAGTCCAATCTTGTCATTTAGTCCCAGCTTCAGATCAGGCATTCCAGAAAGGAAGCATTTCATAAGAATCTTTCCCGTCACATCACATCTTAGAACACTCCCTACAGGAATGACACATTTATGTACACAAGGAACATCAATTAATACAATAGGGAAAGACAACTGTGCGGTCCAAAATTAGGTTCGTCCATAGAGTACCTTTCGAAGACATAAGAAGGTTTACACTCTCAACTATGTCCAAGAAAACCTGAAAAAAGAGAAGATTACTCCACTAGAGAAGCTAGTAGATGAACAAAAGTGCAAAGAATGGGATCAAATAAGAGGAGAAGTTCACATATAAGTTTAAGCACCTCATTCTTCTTGTACACAAGTCCCTCTCTTCTCCAACCAACAGCACCAGTGACTTGAAGAGTCGCATTTGGAACAGGCTTGTCCGAGGGCTGTAAGTGCATAAATGACAGGATATTCAGATGGCTTCACATAAAAACATAGCTATCATCATAAAATTTGATGTAAATTTTTAGCACATTCTATCAAACTTCAGGTTCAATTTTTCTAACCTTTGAGGAAAATGGTGACCGAACACCTTCTTGAGTTATATACAACTTCAAGATTTCAGGTGACAGATTTTGAGGATAACCGAAATCCATGATCTCTGTACAATTATCAAGGTCTGGATGAATGAACAGAAATATCCATGTTGCAGTAGGCAAGTAAAGAATAGGATGCTTAATTACCATCAAGAAGTTCATATATCAAAACAAAGTTATTCCTGATAGCGTCTTCATCAAAAGCTCCACCGAAGTAGGACTTGAAGAGAGCCACCGCCTGATAGTTTCAAATAATATTAAGTACTTAAGTCGAAATGATAAAGAATGAGATAGATCACTGTGAGTGTGAGTTACTTACAAAACTACAGGACATTTTTCAAGTTCTTTGCACTGAACTAATAGCTAAAATTTTGTTTCTAAACCATGCTAGTTTGTTCATATGAGAAGGGTTGGGGTTTCTTTCAAAGTTCTAAACAAGCCATAGGATTTTTTAGCAGACTACATCGCAGTAGTCCTATTAGAATATGCTTACAATATTAACAACAATGAAGTGTATCAGCACAAGAAACCATAGGATTTTTTGTGTTCCAAGATTACTAACATATCATGAATACCCACCATTAGCAAAAAAGTTCATGGATCCTTTTTTTTAACTCTCTTGAAATATCACAAAACAATGTTTAGCAGGCAACTCATAAAATTTGTACAGCGCATTAAGTGACAAATCAGTTCCTCTTCGAGTCTCACAAATTCCAATGTACCCATCTACCCTATATTTTCTCTATTCATATCTGCCACATTCTATGTACGGACATGGTTATGATTATAAAGATGCAATAGCGAAAAAATTAAGTGGCTAATTCCTCCTTTCATTCTGGAAAAATAACATGCAAAACAGGTGGAAGGCTGATCAATTGCCCCACAGAATTCATCAAAACTACCATTTTAAAATTTGTATTTCAAACTCCTAAACCAACAAGACTATATATGATTTCATGGGTTATGCAAATTCCGTTTCAAATGTATGCATAGCACAGAAAGAGTAGCATACCTCGACAACAAATTTGAAAGCACAAGCAACATTAGCATTGCTGCTAACGACAATCACAATGTAAACATTACTGATCCTCATATAAAGGAAGGAGCAGCCTCCTATTTGGCGAACAGGACACGTGCCAAGTTCTTTTGTTTGCATGATATGCATTCTGAATGCATCAACCATATTTCCCCTGCATAAACATACATGAAAACACTAGTCACTAAATTTATGTTGATCAAGTAAGCAAAATATGGGAATAAAGGAACCAAAATGAACCCACAGAGTGATTATTGTTGAATAATTGTAAAAATGGTAGAAACAACTAGGAATAGATGGTGGTAGTAAATTAGTGCCATCAAGAAAAAGTAGTCATTTTTAAAAAGGAAATAAAATGTCTCTGTTACTGAAGATATGCCTTGTGATGTAAATGAAACCGTATTGCTTGGTATGAACGGATTCGAGCTGTTTGGTTGTATCTGTGGTAACACAAACGCAAATGAAACAAAGCTACGGACGTTACCGGTGGGGGATAGATTTGAACTGATTCCATTTACATCTGTGTTACCATAGAAGGAACCAAACAGCACGTACAAGCATAGACCGTTTCAGATTCATGCTATCAAAATGGGGTCCAGTTCATAAATTTTCTCTGCAAATATACCTAATGTCAAAACCCACTATGAATGATCAAGTCAACTATGCAGCAATCGACTTAGTGAGCACTCGCTAGTTCACTACAACAAAGCTTAGTCCCTAAGCAAGTTGGGATAAACAAGTTGTGGATAGTCTGAATTGACAAAAAATAGTAGCCTGGTACACAGCCCTAGGGGAAGCACTCTAGGTAAATCTAACGAATTCTCCGATTAAGTGATTAAGTGATTAATAATCTCTTTTCTCCATTCCAGAAAGCAAGTAGCTCCACAATCGCTACCGAGAGCATCCTTTCCAAAATGTAACTCTCAGCGTAACCTTGACACGACCAGATTTTAGCAGCTGACGAGTCAGATCACCTAGGCCTGCTTCCCAGCTCAGCCCTGCCGAGCGGAATTCTCAAGAAGAAAAATAAAATGGATGAAACTATAATCGCGATCTACGCAGACGCGAGCTAGAAGCGAACTAATCGGTCCCTCCCAGGGCCCCCTAGATCTAACGCTCCAAGCCCACCACAGCACGACGTACCCGACATCGTCACGGTAGAGGCGGTTGATGAGGACGTCCCCGCGGAGGTTGAGGAAGTAGATGGCCGACGCTGCCACCGGCATCGTCGCCCGCCTTCCCGCCGCCCGAGCGTCCGGCCGCCGCCCTTATCTCGTGGCCGGTTCCACGGCGCGCCGTCAGGTACCACTCGAGCGCCGGTGGTCTGCTGAGTCCGTAGCTCGCCGGACGGTGAGGAGGGTGCGGGGCTTGGTTAGATCTCGCGGCAGCACGAGCACCAAAGTCGTCTTCCCGTCCGGGATGGGAGCTTTCGGTGTGTTCTCTTTGCAGAACCTTTCTGGACGGCGTATTTGCTTGGTCATTTTTGGAACTTTGGTAGGTGACCTGGAAATGGACCCACGAAGCATCAACTTTTCAATTTCAGCTGGTGCTGAGTTCAGCACTGGATTTTTTTCCCCGAAAAGAAAACAGTATAATAACATTCAAAACCCCCAAAACGGGTTTTTTTGGGTCAAAAATCATTTGGATTGCTTAATAAATCAAGAGGTGGAAGAATCAAAATAGGCAACAGGTTTAGGTACTGCTTTGGCCTCGATAAACCTAACTCCTGTGTAAAACATAAATAAATGTTTAACTACGAAGCGAAATGTTGAGTCTCCACCTAAAGTTTGTTCTATCATGCTTATTGTTAGTTTCGACTTTAAAACTAGTAGATTTTTGTTGAATCTAGTTATGAAATCTAATCAAGCTAGTAAGATTGTTCGTGCAAATAGCACGATTAAACTTGCTTTATTACAAAAAATAGTTATTTTTTATTGAATTGTAGTATAAAAAACTTTGTAAATAGTTGTTATGGTATTGGTACATTTTACTTATATAAAGACCATAAAATTGGAAAAATCATGATTTATGCTCCAAAAAATAGTAATAGTAGGGCATTATTTTTAATTGTTTTTTGTTGAAAGGTAAAAGCATGCATGTTAGAAAGTACATTTAATTCTATTGTGGTCTTCAATGAATTAATAACAATACATATAAAGAGCTAATGAGATTTATTAGGCGTTTTAGTGTTTGTCTATTATGAATAGTGCAAATGGAGGATGGATACTCTCTAATTCTTAAGTGAGGGCGTTGAGCGATACATTTCGAAAATTGATCTTTGCTTGTTTCATTTTCATTCAATTTGAATTTAGGAAATGCCATACTATTAAGGTGGATCGAAGTTAGGTATCTTGAAGATGTTCATGTGCTCAAAGTAGACTAACAAAACCTTGTACACCTTATGAAAAAATCAGGATAAACCTTTTGTGTGCTGACTACTCATAGGGTCATTTTTTTATGTTGTCAAAAACCTCAAGATCTTTTCAGAAACTTCAATCACGGTTCTTGGGTAGAATTAATCTTCCTAGATCAGAATTTTTTTAATTGTGGCCAAATTTTTGAGATTTGTTACTTTTCACATGTTTTATATGCTAGTTTTACACTAACTTTCCCGAGTATACTCACCTGTCCAAATATAGTAACGCCTAGTGGGAGAGTTAGGGGTATTTATACCTTCCCTTCCTCTTGACCAAACTTGTGCCAGACACGTTCATTGCTTCTTCTTCTCACTCTTTACTTACTTTGGGCTTGGATTTGTGACTTCTTGAGCGAGTTTCGAGTTGGGAATTAGAGTTTGAGCTCTTGAGCTAACTTGCAATCTTTTAGCACTTGGGGCATCGTCAACGCCTTGATTTTGATTTGTTACTCTTGGATTCTTGGAATCTTAAATGGTTAGGCATCTAGCATTTGTAGCACTCATTTGATTGAAGAAGTGCTTCCAAAAAGTTTGTATTACCCTTTGTTTACAGTAAAATCGTTGGACTTGATCTATGTGGTTGCTTGGCAAGATGAAAAGGTGAAAGAGACTCTAGACCTCTGTGGTCTCCTCAACGACAAGGATGTAAGCACGCCTTTGTGGTGTGGCTGAATTTTAGGTTAAATCTTTGTCTCCTCATGTTGTTGTTCTTGACCTTTATTCTTCATTGTTTCAACTTGATCTACTTTATGTGAAGTTTTAGGTTGGGTCCATCTTGTAGAACTCGCTTAACATACTCCCCTACACGTGTGGTAAACATAGATTTAAATTTGCTTGGTGAAATTCGTAGATCGAGTAGGTTCTTTTTCGACAGGGTTGGAATTTCATGTTCTACCCGGAATTTCTAATTGAGATTAAAAATTCGAGTACGACCAAAATTTCGATCATTGCCATTTAATCTGCTGTGAATTTTAAAATTCCAGGTTTAGCCTATTCATCCCCTCTAGACAATGTTGATCCTTTCACCTCAGAGCATGATCCTCGTGATTAGCACTTAATCGTGTGAGAAAAAACAATGTTGGAGCCAAGTGGGTCATCTAGGCTAAGCGATGAGATGATGGACAAGATCAAGGAGATGGTCGAGGACATGGTGGAGCAAGAGATGAAGAAGATGAAGGGAGAACTTAAGAAGCAATTCCAAGACAAGATCAGTGAGGTGTTTAGCAATTCCTAAACCTGCCAATGGCCTTTCCTCACTCATAAATTTAAATGCCAAATGTAATTGGCTGGAGTAGAGGAGTCGGAAGAAAATACATCAATATCAACTCTTTTTCTATACTTGGGGGCGAGTCTTTTGTTTACATGAACTTTTGAGATGCTTGTAAAGAAATTCTGTTCTTGGTGAGCACTGAAAAGAGGAATAAAGATCAATAGCTCATACTGTGACACTTGTTTTTGAAGAAACTCTCATATTATGCCACTGTTAATAGAACGGAAGAGGTGGTTCCAATGTTCCATGTGTGTATGAAGTAGGAGTATATGTATATTCCTTTCGCATTTCTCTGTATGTGACCGTAACAAGTCTCCAATACACATTTTTTTGCCTTTTAATTTTCTTCGTATAATTAGTACATACAGTTTGGTTAAGCCAATCAAAGACAAGTCAGTCAAGAAGCCGCAGGTAATCCCTGAGATCAGTAGGGAAGCACGGGTACTGCCGCCAGAACACGCCATTGATCCTCACCATCCGCACCGTCTTCTGCTTCGTCGCCGGCGGGCTCTCGACGTGCAGCAAGCCCAGAAGCTTCGCCACTGCGCCGGTCAGCACCATGTCCTCTAGGACCTTCTCCGAGGGCGCCACCACTGAGACAAGCCACAGAACCTTGACGGCCAGCTGGGTGGCCAGCTCCGACACCCGCAGCATCGTCTTCGCCACGGCCGCCACCGACAGGTCGTGTTCCGCGAAGGCCAGGCGGCCCTCGGGACGCTTGCACAGGCGCTTGAGAAGCAGCAGTATCCGCTCTGCGTCGTGGCGGTCGTCGGCATTCGCGAGGAGCTCGACGAGGACGTGCACCGCGCCGACCTCCACGGCCTTGGTGGGCCCGATCCGGGACCGCTCCACGATGTCCAGGAGCACGTCGAGCGCGCGGGAGCTGAGCCTCGTTGAGATCGAGACCTCGTCGGCCAGGAGCTCGAGGAGGGACTTGAGCACGTCGTCAACCTCGACGCAGGCGGTCCAGTCTCCGGCGCCGGCATTGAAGATCTTGGTTACGATGTCCATGGCGTGCAGCCTCGCCTCGGCACTGCCGCGCTGGAGCAATGCCATCACCGGCCGCATGCACTCAGGCGCGAGGAGGAGCCCCACCGACGCCGCGTCCGCGAGCGGGAGGAGGGCGAGCACCGCGGCGGCCTCCTCGCACGCCCTGAACGCGGAGAAGTCGCCGCCGGCGCCGCTCTCCGCGAGCGCCTGCGCCATGACCCGGGCGACCGCCTGGATCCCGCCCGAGGACACGAACTCGCATTGCATGGCCACGTCGCCGGCCATGCAGGCCCGCATGCGCTTGAGCGCCGTCACCTTGAACGGCGTCTCCTCGAGGCCGGCCAGCACCGAACGCAGCCGCTCCGCCTCCAGGACCCGCGACAGCGGCGCGGCCAGCTCGTGGGCCGGGCTCGACAGTGACGACGTGGACGGCGACGACGACGCCGACGTCGACGGCGAGCCGCCGCGGTCGTCGAGCCAGGAGCCGATGACGCGCTTGAGGGTGTGGTTGGGGGTGAGCTCAAGGTTGGCCAGCGGCTGCATGGTGGCGGGGCAGGTGGCCCTGCCGCACCCGAAGATCCACCGCTCGATGCTGCGGCGGTCGTAGGTGACCCCCGTGGAGACCGTGACGGGGTCGTCCATGAGCTCCATGGAGATGGGGCACAGGAACAGGTGAGGAGGCTCCTCCATGGCTGGCGCTGGCGCACTGCCACCACCGCAGATCGTGATGCCGATGCAGAATTGCAGACCACCACGCTGCGCTGGCCAAGCAAAGCTGGTGATGTGATGAGGGCCTTTATACACGGGCGTGATGGTGATGGTGCAACGTGCAACCGTGCAAGTCCATAGTCAGACTCAGACAGGGCGGAATCGTAAGGTTCGCTAATAAACTAGATTAAATGCATTCTGCGCACAATTAAGTTTTGGTGGTGCGGTGTGGTGGGTTATGAGCCATGAGAAATTTCAGAAACTGTATGAGCAAATATAACAAGGGACTGCAAGCAAACTAAATGTTGAGATAGAAGAGAGATGGAAGGAGAGAGAAGCAGCGAGCTATAAGTTTACAGACGGCTTGGACATAAAAATCAAAAAACTTTGTGAGAGAGACATGTGGACTATGTATTAATAGTGAAGATGTAACTACTATATGAATGGGCTAAGACATAGGCTGTAAGTATTCATATAGCTAGCTGTCAGCTGTATTATTAGCCTTGCTCTTATAGACTAATGACCAGGCAAAATTAAAGCGACTTTGAATGATGCTATTAATCTCTCAGAAATTAGGCAAATTGAGACTAGCTGATGTAAGCTTTATGGAATTTTTGCAAACTGAGTTCCTACCTGATGGCTATGTTCGTTTCTCTTATAATTCATACTTTTCAGCTTTTTTTTTTGGTGAAGCAGTGTTTTCTCTCATTGGACAAATCAATCTATGACATTAATAGAAAGCAGTGTTAAATGGTATGAGGCTTGTGTTTTGTTTTTTTCTTATAGATTGATGAAGAAGTGAAGCAGCAAATTGAGGCGATGTGAGCTTTGTGCAACTTTTA